TCGAAGTGTGATGTCTGTTCAAGCACCTCCATGTTGAGATAGATAGTCTTCAAATGGCATCACCAGTTCTTCGCCTTGTGCACAGGCACAGCTGCTTCATAGGAGCACATAATAGCACCCAAAGTGCTATGGGCCCTCATTCATCTTTCATTTCAACACCACGATCAACACCGCGCTATGCAACAGTCACTCCAAATCCCCATGCCTATGTACAACTTTTCTTTTCTTTTACAACTTTTGAAAACATCAACTTTTTAAGCCTTGCCAGGCCAGATCTCCTTAGCGACATCGTTGACAAGCTTAAGCTTGGCAAACATCTTCTCCTCAGTCATACCCTCAGCGCCGACAGCGACACTAGCGAAACCGCACTGAGGGCTGATGCCAACCTGCTCAAGAGCCTCCTCGAGACTGCGGCCCTGACCATCAGCGATGATCTTGGCAGCGTCGAGCACGCGGTGCTTGATGACCTGAGCATCCTCGAGCTCGGGCTCCTTGGTGGTGATGACTCCGAGGACGACGTTTTTGTGCTTGGGGAGGAAGCGGAGGGGCTCGAAACCGCCGGAACGAGGGTTGTCGTACTCGAGGAAGAAGGTGTCGTAGTTAAGGACGGTGAAGAACTTCTCGGCGATCTTCTCGTATGAGCCCTCGCTGAAGTGCATGGACTTGGAGAAGTTTCCTGTAGCGTGTAAGTGAGTGGATACGATGTAATTGAGTGAGAAACAAACCTCTGCAGACGTGAAGTCCAACGTGGAGACCCTCGGGTCGGTCGGCGATAGCATCGTTGTGAGCCTTGAGGTAAGTGTCGAACAGCTTGTCAGGATCAACACCCTCGTCTCTCAGAGACTGAAGCATCTCATCGGAGCAGAAGTAGGCGAGAGTGGGGTCATCGATCTGGATGTTTCGCACGCCCTCATCGTACAAAGTCTTAAACTCCTGACGGTAAGCCTTGGCCAGATCGGCAAAGAAGTCCTCATCGTTAGAGTAAGCCTCAGGGCTGTAGCACTTTCCAGAGGCGAGTCTGAGGTGGAAATAGCAAGGAGGAGGCATGGTGAACTTGCACTCAGCCCACTGCTCACGAGGAACACACTCGCGGAGCATCTTCCAGTTCTCGAGGTAAGGGCTCTTCTTGTACTCGATCTTGGACTCGCAAAGAGCAGCCATGGGATACTGCTTACCAGCCTTCTTCAGCGCAGCAATGGGAGGCGCAGAGAGACGGACAAGATCCCAGGGAACAGGCTCAACCTCACGGAAACCCCCTAGACGCTCAAAGAAGCCAGAGAAGTAGTACTTGCGATCAAACTCGCCTGAGGAAATAGCGCGAACTCCATGCTCCCGCTGCTTCTTCACGATATCGGCAATAGCAGCCTTTTGCGTCGCAGCAAGCTGCTCAGCAGTGACCTGGCCGGCATCGGCTTGCTCCTGGGTGCGAGACAGCGCCTCAGGGCGGATGAGAGAGCCGATGTGGTCGGCGTGAAAGGGGAGCTTTGTGACAGTCATTTTCTGAGCGCGAGGAGAGTCAATTGAGCGGTTTCATGGCTGCGGGAGTAGCCATCATGGCTCTTTTTATCATGGGCATGATGACATGGGGGTATTTCCCCAAGCAAAGTCGGGCCAATCAATGGTCCAATAATGACTGCGACGAGAGTAGCATGTCTCCATATGACCCCTCCCCCTCCGCAGATCTTCGGTTGATGGACACGGCTGTTGAGATGAGGGGAGGGTTAGGGTTACGATGTTTGGAGTTCATGTCATGATCATGAACAGAACTGAAACGGTAGAACATGTGAATTGCCTGTCAAATATTGTCTGTGCTTGACAACGCAAGGCAAGAAAGCTATATGCTTGAGCATGGGCCAATATGGCGACTCAGCAGGTGGCTGACTGATATGGGTATGTCACCGAAGAGTCTCGAAGAATGGTAACGACAGGCAAGGCGCCCAATGGCCTTCGCAATGACTGCTCATGGCATCTCGGCTCGTCAGTTTGAATGGTGTACCTCAAGCCTGATGACTGTTAGCCATGATGAAAAGAAGAGCGAGCAGTCTGCGAGTTCAATTACTCAAAGGCAAGAAAACTGATGATGCTTACGTTACCACTGTTAATGTTGATGTTGTTGGTAAGAATTGTTTTGTTCCAAAGGAAACAGGGGCAACAATCCTTTTCAAAGCCCAGGAACGACAATGTCCAAGCAACTAACCAAGGGGCAAAGTGCGGTGTCTCACTTGAAGCATACCGCAGAGGCAAGGCCTGCAACATTTCACGTGTGTTTCTTGTACATTTCAGTGGTCTCATCGAGATCGGCCTCACAAGTGCTAGATCGCACTGAAGAAAAAGAAAAGAACTTAGTAGCACTCAGAGTGAGACTATCCAAGCAAGGGAGCAAGATTTGACCAACCCAAAATACAAAACATTGTCTCCCTTACTGAGCCTTGGGCCCTTGGCACAATGAGATGGATTTTATCTGCACGTCAAAAAAAAAAAAAAAAAAAAAAAAATGTATGTAGGTAGTTTTCTGCAAGCCATTAAATTAGGCGGCTTGCATAAGGCGACAAATAAAAGCCCTCCCTGGCATCAGAAGCGAAGACAGAGGAGATTAGTAAATCGTGGGCGTTTTTTTCTCTCTTTGGCCCACGATAGCAACCTAGCATAATAAGGCTATAAGCTCCGATCAGAAGCGGGAATGGCTCCAACGGCACGCGCTGCCAACATTCCTCACCAGAACATGTTATTGTCGCAACTTTTTACTTGGCTTTCCAATTTTAGCATTGCAGTTGGTGATCAAACATGCGAGGCGCAACGTTGCCACACGTTATTTCGATCGTCAGGAACAAGGAGCTCTGAAGGTGCTTTTTCTGTACTGATGTGCTGTTGTGTAACAGAGGCACAAATAAGGGTGTTTTGTACCTTGCATGAAATCGTGTAGGTAGTACATGATTGCAATATCAACGACTTGGCACGGCATCTTCTGATCCGGAGAGCGATGATACTGGAAATGGGGTTCCCTGATGTTATCACCTCAAGCATCAATTGACTTTTGAACGAGTGCGGTAGCTAGATCTTCTCATCACGTCATAGAAATATCATCATCACCAAGTTATCAATCAAGAACCATCAAGTAATTGCATGACTTAACTGGTTAGTATCAGTCTGTAAGCTCCGGAAACAGACAAGACTATCGTCGTAGGGCTCTGGCGAGCTTCCGAGACTACCGAATGCCGGTTTGTTCAGGCTATCAGAGTGATCCATATCAACTCAAGCTTAACATGCTTGCTGGGATGAGTTGCATCCAAGGGATCTACTGTGGAGTTGTCAATTCTTAGTAGATGTAAGTCAGTTATCACCAAGCAAGAAGTGAGTTAGACGAAAGTTCCTAAAAAGTGTAATGAGCTCTAGCCAATCAATATTTGAGATTGAGCTCTGATACGAGCCGTGAATTCCAGTGATTTTGTTGTAAGGTTATACGCGAACTTTAAGCTTTGGCCATAGCTCTTCTCGCAATAGTTGAAGTAGAAAACTTAGATTATGCTTGGCGAGACCAAAAACGTCGAATAAACATCAGCTTTGACAAAAAAAAAACAAAAAAAAACCCTATTATTTTGAGGCATTTCCTGATCATTTTTTGTTAACGTGTTATGGACATTGAGTTGGAGTGACTGTCGAAAATCACCCTAGACCCCCCTCCGGAGCACTGCCGGCTCGGCGGCCTCCGCAAAAACCATCGGCCCGCATAACACAACAAGTCAGACTTGATTCATGTCTCATACCAGCTTTCAGCTCTCCCTTGGTAAGACCGACCATTCTTCCACTTCTCACGAACGCAATCTCCCCTTCGGGGACCATCTATTAGCTTCCGGGATGGATAATCTAATGTCTCGATCTTGTGGACATGAACAAGAAACCCAAAACAAAACAAAATACTCATAGCTAAGTGCTTTCGAGATATAGAAGAACCTGTTTCCCCGGATTGTGCTAAAGAATGCTCGCATCCGGCCAAAGGGAGGGAGGGGTCTGATAAACGGTTTCGAACCAGGGTTGATCTTTTACCTTGTCCGATCTCAAGTTCCAACCGCTGAAAACGCTATGTGAGTGATACTCAAGCGAGTATAGTCGCCTTTGGAGGAGCCACAAAACGCACCAGAGATTGCTCTGCCTATTTCTGGTGACCAATGACGTATATTCTTGGGTGATGGAGATTAGACGCCCGTCACATATCTGTCAAATCCCACATGAGGTGAACCTTGGAGAAAGTGTGTTCTGATAGCGAGTGCTCTTTTTTTGACGCATCCAGGAATGGGTCTCGCGCATGCGGAGAAATTATTTCTTGGCTGTCTATCTGATGCCGATGGACCGTCGGTAACCAAGATGCGGTAGATTATGGAGGAGTCCAGAGTGCTTCGATACGTACATGTGAAATCACTCCTTTGAGGGAGGGTAGGCCACGGCATTGGGATGAGTGTCTCAGCAGAATACCGTGTCAGCAGCCTCACGTATCAACAAGTGAGATAGAGGCTATCAGTATGAGCATCTGGAATTTAGAGTAATCTTACAACCTGAGGTGATGCAGAGCCAAATTCTCAAGCGGCGGGGATTTTGGGGCCAAAACAAGCTCGTCGGAGTGTGGAGTGGGAGTGAGACATGTCAAGTCAGGGGCGCTACATTCTTTGCTTGTTGGACGGGAACGCCATGTCTCAACAGTCACAGCAGAGCACTCTGGACTTGTTTGCGTTGGGGGGCTCGATGCATTCGTCGAGGACCAGACAGACTATCGGCGCGAGGCTTAGTCTGTGGTCCTAGGAGGATCCCATACAATCTCAGCCCCAAGGCAAGGGGACCCAGATCATGTATAAAGAGAGGGCTTGATTCCGTCCAAAGCTCAACTTCTTCCTTCTCTCATCATCAAGCAACTCAAACACCCTCGATCCCCTCGCTTCTCTTCCGAGAGCTGTTTTCCAGTCGTTACACACCCCAGTCATTCGCTCTGAAGAACCACCATCACAAAAATGCGTTACACCGAGCTCCTCGCCCTGGCCATGGGCAACTTGGCCGCTGCCCAGTTCACCACTGGCCGCTTCTCCAACACCACCACCGGCGCCATTGAGACTGGCACTGCCACAACTGGCACCGATGTCACCGGCACTGTGACCTCCAGTGCCGCTACCAGCACCTCTACTAGCGGCAACCCTGACGGCTTCAACTTCCTCGGATGCTTCTCTTCTGAGAACGGCTTCCCTGGCTTCACTCAGGCCTACTCCTCTGAGGAGAACGACTCTGAGCGTTGTGCCGATGCCTGCTTGGGCTCCAACTTCTTCGGCCTCTACGACAACAGCTGCTACTGTGGTAGCGAGCTTGATCTCTCCTCCTCTCCCGCTGTCAGCACTGACCAGTGTGACATCACTTGCCCTGGCAACGATGCTGAGAACTGTGGTGGTCTCTCTTCTGGCGACCGCCTCATGCGCCGACAGGTCGCTGTCAACGTTCTCCTCTCCGTCTACGTCGCCATCGGTGTGAACCCGGGTAAGACTGACACTGTCATCAACACCGACTTCGTCACCAAGACCCTCCCTCCTGTCACCACCACTGCCACCGTCACCTTCACTGAGGATGGCACCACCGTCACCCGGACCGTCACCACTGTTCTCCCCGCCATCCCCACCGATGTCATCATCATCTGCTACGGTAACTACTGTGCTCCTCAGGTCCACTGCCCTACCTGCACCAAGTGGCAGATCGTCTGCGAGGATGGCCTCTGCGCTCCTCGTGAATGCCACGACGACACCTGGAGCCAGCTCAAGATCTGCAACAGCGGAAAGTGCCACTATGCCGACTACACCGGTAAGGAGTGCAACCAGCGCATCGTCTGCTACGGCAGCAAGTGCCAGCGTGACCAGCACTACTCTATCGACTACGCTCGCAAGTTCGTCTGCGATGTCGATGAGCACCGATGGTACTTCGATGAGTGCAAGGACGACTGCTACACCTATGAGAAGTGCTCCAAGGGCAAGTGCGAGCCTGTCCACCCTCCTGTCAAGCCCACTGAGCCTGTCAGCCCTCCCAAGCCCGTTACTCCCGGCAAGCCCCCTGTTATTGTCGTCCCCGAGCCCGTTACTCCCTCCAAGCCCGTCACCCCCGGCAAGCCTGAGACTCCTGCTAAGCCCGAGACTCCTGGCAAGCCCGAGACTCCTGCTAAGCCCGAGACTCCTGCTAAGCCCGAGACTCCTGCTAAGCCCGAGACTCCTTAAGCCCGAGACTCCTGGACTCCTGCTAAGCCCGAGACTCCTGAGACCACTAGCACCAAGCCTGTGGTCCCCGTTGTGACCGCCGGTGCTGCCCAGAAGACCTTCGCCGGTGTGGCCGCTGCCATCGCCGGTCTTGCTTTCGTCCTGTAAAGGATTTGATAGGCAAATCTTTCTTCTTCTTCTGCCCGGATTGGGGCTTTTCTCATAGATGCCGGAGTCTCTGCCCGGCAAGCTCAGCATTCACGTCTTTTGCTCTTGATAGCAACAAAACACGCATATGTGTAACGTTTAACGTTCTTGGTTTATTCTTACACCACTCGGTTTAATTTGGGGAGATCTGGCTCTGGGATATCTTGTACGATAGATTAGGGTCCCGGCTGTCCATTTCGATGGTGGTACCTTTTTGGCGATTAGAAATCAGTAGTATTTCGGCTTTAATATGGCTTTATGACTTTATTCTTCAGAGAATTCTAATGTGACAGCGATTCTCTCTACTCTTTCTCATCTCTGACAATTGTGACTTTCTGACTGTGGCTGAAAAGGATTGATTAGGACTGCTAATACGCTAAACTTTAGGCTTTTGTGAAAGTCATCACGCATGCAAGGGAGACTGTCTTTGAAGCCGTTTCCTTGCAGAAACAATATGCAGGGGGCTGTCGAATAAGTCAGCCTCAGGAGAAGCCTTCTGACAGCTTGTTACAGAGCAATACAATTGATTGGCCATGAAGTGGACTCACACGTGTAGGAGTTATAATTTCTTTTTGTGTCTGGAACGATATGCAGTGGAGACTTAGTGCATCTCGATCTTGATGAGAGAATATGACAGTATACAACTGTTGGTAATTAACCGCGACATTATAACATCAATACCTCGTGCTCGTAAACAGCTTCTAAATGGCCAGAGGCCAAACATTGGGTTGCATTGAGTAAAAGTTCCTATACTCTGCTTTCGTGAAGTGTTGGCTTGGCGATGTGATACTGATAGCAACGTGACCAACAGGCTCACCAGCGCCCGCAATGCTTTTTTACAGTTGATGTTACAAGCATGTCGATTGAAGTCCCTTCTTACAAAGCATATCTAGTCTTTTATTGTTGCGGTCTGGAAAGTTTAGTAAGGATAAATACCTGGTCTCTAGGCAGCCGCATTTCACGATGGTATATCTTGATTGCTGGAAGAATGACAGTTCTAGCAGTAACCAATGACAGTAGTGAAATAACGATAATCGATAAAGCTTAGGGCTATGAGGCAAAAGATGCGAACCGATGGGCATGTACCCCTGCTGGGTGATAGCATCTCGCAACTCGCTCGGTTAATATCCATCACATCACCTTTGATCCAGGGTTCAAGGGTACCCGTCCCGCATCGTGCACGGTGAGCGAGCATTAATGCAAGACCGTTTATGGCAGCTGTAAGCTCCTATTGTCAAGGGAATATGTTATAGTTTCTAATGTCCGGTGACTGATATCTTGATAGAATGCTATATATGTAGTGGGAGCCTCAAATAACAAAGAATGTCGTGATGTTCCACGGGGAGTATCGGGGACAGAGTGTCGCAAGAGCGGAGTAAAGCCTGTTTGTGGTGAAGATGACCTTATTATGCTAAATGCTTGGGTGCAGAGAAATGGAACATGATGCTGTACAACAGCGGGCCTTGTCCCTTGTGTCGGTACGACAAGGATGGATACGCAATTGCGGTCTGAGCTTGAAGATGTTTACGAGTTGCTCATCTTGATAGTGTTTTATCGTGCTGATAATGTAGTTTCAACTGCACCTTTCATTTAGAGCCGATGGAAAGCTACAGAGTTGGTTATGTACATGAAAGAGGCGAATGACTGCAAGAGCCGCTGAACATTTTTGTTTGTCTAGTGTCCAGAAACAGCAAGATTCTTTTTCGGAGCAAAGTGACAGGGCTCGAGATCCTTGATTGGTTGTTGGATGGTGCAAGATGCCTGACATGGGCTATGGACATGGCCTGGCTACAGTACCCAAGCTTGGAATACCCAGAGCCTTGGCTTTTGTAGATGCATGGATGTTGATGACAGGTGGTCCTAACAACACCTGCTGATTAATTATCTTGTTATTTCATCGTTCAATTGAGGCGATAAAACAATATAGAATACAAGCTCTTGAACAATAATTCATGCCCAAGACCCGACCCCTCATGTCAGTGTGGCCCTTGACGCGGAGCCGAAAAGGAAACGGAAAAAAGGTGGAGGTGTGTGTGTTTCTGTGTGTGACTGACTGTGACCGCCAGACGAGACTGCATCAAAACCCTTGCTCCTGATTGACTTTGAAGTGGATTGAGGCGTTATGATTTGCCTGGAGGCTTCTGAGCGGTACCAACAGACTGGAACTGGCTGGTCCCCTCTTTAGGCCATCTGGGGACAGCCACATTCTGTATCATTCTGTACCTATGTATGTATGTATGTATTTTTGGAGAGTACTTTTTCCAGATTCTCGGTAGCGATGTCTGTCATCACAGTCACAATCACAGTGATATATTGACCAGTTGGCCATTGCCATGTGATAGAAGAAGTGATGATATGATATGATGAGGTTTATATGCTAGTCATGAGCACACTAACAAACTGTAAAAAGGGACAATCCTTTCCCAACATCATTAATAGACGTGCATATTTCTCCTCTTTTTTTCTTGATAGCTTCCCCTTCGCCGCTATCGTTCTCAGTATGGAGTAACTTTTTAGTCTCTTCGGAATGGGTTCTCTCTAACCCAACTTGGCCTGGTCTTACCGTTTACCGTCTCTTTTCTTCAAAGCAACTCAACTGGCCTTGCTCTACTTTACTTGCCCTGAACCCTTGATCAATCTTTCTCTTCATCTTTGGCTCTTAATGTCTCGATGCCAACCGAGCCTCATTGACATTCATCAACACCAAAGCCGAGATATCACCACTCTTTGCACTACAGTAGCTTAGCTTCGTCTTCCGTTGACTTACACGGCCCTAAGCTTATAGCGCCTTGTCCGCCATAAGGTTACTGACGTCAGGTCGATCTACGGAGGAGAGCGCCATCCCGCTCAATCTCACCTTAGCGCCTTCTACTCCCTGACTATCTCCTGTCCTACTTCAACGGCTCAAACTCTCTCATGTTGAATGCTTGTTTTTGACTTCAACACCATAAAATCTCTGTTGTGTCGACCCTCGATCATCACCCGCGGTATGCGCGTACCCCTGTATCTGCGCTCACGATAATGAACTCGCCGCCAAACTCATTCTCTCGTCAATCCGACGATTCTCCATCCTCCAACCCCGGAAACAGCGCCGGAAAAGATCAACATCTTGGGTCTCGCCATATGGTGCCCCCATCTCCGGCGTCTTCGACGACATCTCCATTGGCTGTAGGCTCGGCTCACGAAGCGGCTCTTATACAAAGCATTGAGCGAGGCGATTACGCGACCGACGACGACGAAACACGGAGCCTGACCGACAGTATACGACAACACATTGTAGAGGGTGGTTTGCGTTATCATAGGTACGGATAAATACGAACCGTCCTTGCTCAATGGCTGACAGCAGATCATAGCTATCATGCAGGAAAATACCTTTTCCCAAACGACGAAGCAGAGCAAGATCGAGAGGAGCTCAAGCATAATTTGACTGTGTACCTGTGTGATGACAGACTCTTCTTTGCGCCAATTGAGCAATTATTGGAAAAGGGTCCCGCTGAAGTGCTCGACTTGGGCACAGGAATTGGGAAATGGTGTATTGACCGTGAGACTCAACAAGAACTCCATACCAAGCTGGAGTCTAAATGCTGACACTCATAGTTGCCGATATGTACCCCAACTCACAATTCCACGGCATGGACCTTTCTCCTATACAGCCGGACTGGGTCCCAGAGAATGCCATCTTTGTTGTCGACGACATAGAGCACGAAGCTGGCTGGACCTATGGAGACGAGTCGTTTGACTACATACACATACGCCACACAGTTCATTCCATCAAAGATCGAGAATTGCTCTGGGAAAGAATCTGGAAGTATGATATTCGTTCGTTTTTAGCTGATCGCAAGCTGACTCTCGCCCAGACACCTAAAGCCAGGGGGTTACGTAGAGGTTCAAGAGTTTAACTATATCGCAGCCTGCGACGACGACTCATGTGACGGCCCCTACGCTTGGAGGGACTATTGCAAATATCTCCACGATGGCATGCTGGCGCTCGGGACAGATTTACATGGCATCACTCACGTGGGACATGAACTACACCAAACTGGCTTCGAAAGCATCACAACCAAAGCCTACAAGTGCCCACTTGGTCCATGGGCAAAGAAGAAACGTCTTCAAGAGTGTGGCCATGTTTTGAGAGACGTCGTTATGCTATCTCTCCATGGCCTGTCTCGAAAACCGCTTCGTGATGGTCTCGGGTGGACATTGCTCCAGATCGAGATGTTCCTCATCGAAGTTCGAAAGTCATTGACTCAGGAAGTTAATGGCTTACCCAAGTTCCATACTTATTTCCCTTACTACAACATTCACGCCCGGAAGCCCCTGAATTCGCAAAGGCCGATCAGGGAAGACGCGTGAGGGCCAGGTGTTCCTGGAGACACTACGACGCTAAACATACACGACATTGCATATTTCATAATGATTGGACGAGATATCACTTCATCAGCATAGGAAAGCATCAACACACATGGGAGCATGGCCTGGCGTTTGACGGATTGCATAACAAGGCTAATTAAAGCCCGTGATGAAACATCACTTACAAGGCGTCGCTGGGCAATTTCTCTTTTTTCTGCACATGGCAACTTAGTCGACACAATACATAGCCGTTGAAATACCATCATAAATCATGAGCTCTTCATTTTAGGCAACATCATCCAGGCTCGTCATACGCAACGGCCTGCAACAGTTCTAAACTCGCAAATCTTAGATCATGACTTGATCCAGCTTGCAATGAAATCTAGTATGTGTCGAGCTGACTAGAATATTTTTCACTAAACTCGTCGTAACATGATCAATCATAGGCTATTCTCAGATGGCCACCAGAGCAGATACTATTCTGACCTCCCGTCATGCTCAACAGCCCAAAGATCACCAAATCGACTTCCCGGCGTCTCGACAAGCTCCCTTGGTCCACCTGATTCCACAACAGTACCCCTATCTAGAACAATAACTCTGTCAAAGAAGTCCATAACCATCTCAAGTCGATGAGATACCATGACAATTGTGTAATTCTCGAATTCTTCACGAATAATCTCTTGCATAGCCCTGTCAGTGACCTTGTCCACACTGCTACTCACTTCGTCAAGCAACAGCAATCCACCTCGCTTCTCACCCCCGGCGAGGCGATCGCGCACCCTACGACGAAGGATCGCGCGACCAAGACTGAAAAGCTGCTTTTGTCCAGCACTGAGGTCATCGGCGCTCATACCAGCGTTGAGACTGCCTTTGTCTTGGACAAAACCAGATACGCGCACCGTGTTGAGAACGTTGAAGCATTCTGCGTCAGTGGCTGCCTTGTAAGGGTCGATGTTATCTTTGACAGAGCTGCCATCCGGAAGAAATACTGCGTCCTGGGGGATGCAAATTACGCGCTTACGCAAGGTAGCGCGGTCCATTTGGTGAAGGTAAACGTCGTCGATCTTCATATTCGCATCACAAGACGGAAGAGGATCGATGAGACGTAGAAGGAGAAGGATCAGAGTTGACTTTCCACTTCCGGTACGACCACAAATGGCTACTTTCTGGCCCGGGAAGATGTCGAGCTCGAGATCACGTAGTGCCAAGCTAGAAGCAGCTTCATCTTGCTCGTTGCTAGGGGAATCATAGGAGGCGGAGACCTTGTGGACTTGTATGCTGCCGCTATGAGGCCAGGTCTCAGGAGGCTCAATAACTTCACCAGGTTTATTCTCTGTCTCCACAGTTTCGCTGAAAGATCTTAACCTGCTCACTGCACCGAGGGACGTCTCAAGGGAAGTGTAACTTGTGATGAGGTTTGACAAGGTTTCACTGAAGGTCAAGAGAGAGATTAGACTGGCGCCAGTCAAACCTGCATTGGTTCGAAGCTGAGTTGAGAGAGAAATTAGAAGAACAGCAGTGCCTGTGACGATGAAGTGAAGCAACGTGGCGAGCCATTGCTGAATCATTGCCAGGAGGTACGCTGGGCGCTGGGATGTGTCGAGAAGTTTGTTGCTGTGGGCAATGTCAAATTGCTGCCACCCAAAGGCCCGAATAGTTGCAACGCCTTTGATTGTGTCCGTGAAATGGGTGCTAAAATGAAGACTTAGAACTCGATCTCCCTTGGAAGCAAAGTAACACTTACTACAATGGGCTTTTAGCCTCAAGATCGAGGAGTCGAATTTGCCTGGAAGTTCGAAGATAAAAACCTTGAATAAAGTATAGAATACCCATCAGAAAGGGATATCCAACTGCGAGATATGGTGATGCTGAAGCTACAACAAATGCAGTGCCAAATGCGTTGGAGACGTCCAGGGAAAAGTTGGTCAGGGCCAGTGGGAGCTCCATATCCAGCAGAGTCATATCTTGCGAGAACAGGTTCGTCACAATACCGGTGTCAGTCTTTGAGAAGAACCTCAGCGGCGCAGATATGACAGTTGAAATAGCGCGTTGGTGTAGTTCAGTACCTGCCGACGCAGTCATCTTGATCAATGTCGTAACTCCATTGCAGAACAAGAAAACCATATAGCCAGCTCGTAGCATACCATATATACCTACGTAGAAGGCAAAAGACCTGTTAAAAGAGTCTTCAGCCCAGAATTTGATCCAGACGCTTGAAAGGCTGTTGCAGACACCGGTTAACATGCCTGCCACGGCCACGATGATGACTGGCCAGAAGCCAACACTCTTGAAGTAGTGTTTGTAGATGGAAAAGTCGCCTTGTTGTCGTGCTTTATCTCCGGCAGCTGATACGTCCTGAGGAATTATTACAGGGACAGTAGAGGCGGTGGCTCTTGTCATGGGCTTTTCATCCTCTGAAGAAGAATCCGCATCTCTGTGCTTGACGCCGAGGCTGTGAACATACTTTTTGTTCTCTACCAAGTCGGAGAAATTTCCCTCTTCGATGACTGTACCATTTCCAAGCGCAATGATATGGTCTGCCAGAGGCAGGTTCCTGACTGAATGTGTGCAGATGACCACAGTAACATTGCGTCGACGAGTGATACCCCCTGGTCCAAATACGCGTCTGAAGAGCTCCGATTCAGTATCAAGGTCTAAGCCGCTTAGTATGTCGTCGAAAATCATCAGATCTGCTTCAGAGTATAGCGCGCGGGCAACAGAGAGACGCTGCTTTTGACCACCACTCAACATGATCCCATTACTGCCAATCTTCGTATCGTGACCTTGCGGTAGGAGTGTAACATCTGGTGCGAGCATAGTAGCTTCCACAATTTCGTCATACTTGGCCTGATCGAAAGCGCAATGGCCAACAATGTTTTCTCGGAAGCTCGCGTTGTAAAGAAAGGGGGTTTGTTCACAGTAGCCGATGCGATGCGATGGTATGTACGTTTTGATGGCCCCTGAAGCGACAGGCAGTTCCCCAAGTAAAGCCTTACAGAAGGTAGTCTTGCCAGATGCCACCTCACCCACCACGATTGTGAGCTTGTGAGCCGGTATAGAAGCGTGTATTTGACTGAGTGTCAGTTTCTCTCCTCCCCATCCGAAGCAACCGTTCTCAACAGAAAATGCCACCTCGATTGAAGGATTCAATGAACTTTTCTCGGAAACTGAAGCAGTTTCATGGATCCGAAAGTCATGGCGCGGATCTGCGGCAAGAAACTTTTGCACTCGAGCCATGCATGTCAGGGCAGCAAAAATACCCGGAAGGCTCTGGAAGAGACCAATGACGGGAGTAGTGAAGAGGAGTATGTATGATAGTGAGGTGAAGAGTGTGTTTACAGTCAAATCCGTGGACGCGAACGCAAAGGTGACGACTGGAGAAATGCAAATCGGGAAAAAGCCCAGCACCGCAGCGGTTATCAAAAGCCAGCGGAAGCTATTCCCAACCTTCATCTCCCTAACGCGGAGCGTCTGTATGAGATCCGCAACAGGTCCAGCGATTCCTGAGATCTTATAGAGCTTCATCTGGGAGATGGCGCTGGCAGTTAATCCCACTCTGTTCTGAATCTTCGCCATCCACTCGCTCTGCCTCTTGCCAACGAACGTGACCAACCAGGATAGCAAAAGAGCGCAAGCACCGATCACGACAAGCGGAGACAGGAACGCTATACCGATCTTCCCATGCAGAAGCCAGCAGCCGATGGCTACTTCTATGGTGTTTGCCCAAATATCGTGAGCTGTCCCAGCACCCCTGATAATGCGTTCAACATCAGCGCTCATAAGCGTTAAAGCAGCAGAATCATCAGCGGCCGTGATCTTCATTTGTGTTGTCTTTTGGTAAATCGCAGCGACTAGGCAGCCTCGAATCATATAGACGGCCTTTTGCTGATAGTAACCGTAGAAGGCCGAAGAAAGTCCAATGCCTGCGTAAATGAGAAATGCTGCGCCGATAAGGCCGTAGCCCATATTTTTCGTCGTCGGAGTCTCGGGCATCTGCAGATATTCTAGAGTAGCATCTATGAAGACGGGCTGGCAGAATTTGAAGGCAATGAGGGCAACGCGAGGCGCAATTGGTAGGAGGAACGGGCTGATGAGTGTTCTGGTCAGGTCCTTCAGAAGTCCAGACTTGAGCTCTCGGTTGTATCTATGCACCCGGAGCCTCTTGGCAAAGTGACTGTACAATTTGCTTGAAGCCATATTCTCATCGAGCGGGTAAAGGTCATCTATGGCCAAAACCCCTCGATATCCTCTCATGAAAAGCTGGTTCAGCCAGGCGAAAGCACCAATGCTGAATATGCCGCTCGACTCCTCTGGACTATGCTCATCAGCATTCCAGTGGATCCATTTTGTTTTGGGAATCGTCTCGAGACAGAGAACAACGGCTTTGACGACGACAGATGCAGTGAACAGGCGGGGTTGGATGTCATGTTGAAATGCAAGCCATGCCGTTCTTGTTTGCACAATGTCAAACAGAAGCGTGAACAATATGTAGACATTGAGCAAAGTCGACGGTCTACGGGCACAAGAGTGCTCGAACGAAGATAAAAAGACCGCTAAGAAGGCGGCGGTGACTACAAGGGATGACGCAGCAAGAGAGAGGCCGTGGACAACGCCTGGGGCTCCAGTGGCGATGAGGATGAGGACCGCGAATTGAATAATGGCATAAACAGCCAGAAATGCCTTTTAAGTCAGTATTAAATCGGCATTTGCGTGTCAAGACTCACAATCTTGATCGACTGAAGAATAATACCACCAACTATCCTTTCGCGCTGCAATAAGATGGCTATGCGGGCGACTGCTGCCGCAACGAACACGGCAGTTGGTATAATGGAGAGAAAGATGCGCTCGAATTTCTGGGTGAAGTCGAAATCGCCTCGACATCCCCGAACGCCAGGTCCCAAGGAGCCATCATTCAGACAAGTTGAAGTCATTTTGCGTGACCTTGAGGGGTGAGATAGGAAGCGAAGTCGTTGCCTTTTAGTGCATGTCGCTCATGTCAAAAG